ATAATAAGAGAATAAGACTGTCAAGAAAAAAACAACTCGGCCCCCTATTGTGCAAAGCGCAGTGGGTTTAGTTTAGTTAAGGTAAAAAAAACTATAGCTCGCAAAAATCGATGAACATACTTTGTTTTCATGTAAATAAAATTAAAAAAATCCATATCGGGGTCCATATTAGGGAGTACACAGATTGTACCTTCCCAGTTTGAAAAAAATGTTATTCTKGCGATGGACATTACAGCACGGCTAGTTTCGGAAAACGTTGAGAAAAAAAAGAACATAATAGACCCACMAGCSTCGAATCGCCGTAAGCTTCAACTTCCATTAAAAAAACTTGATTAAAATTTGTAAATTTCAGAATACTTGGTTACTCGAATTACAGACTAAAAAAAAATTAGTGAAAGCACGCCAAAACAACCATCAAAAAATCAGGGGGAAGCTGTAATTAGGTAGACTTTATACTTGGTCTGTAAACAAACAGGCAAAGTTTTGTGAAATGCACTTTTAAGGCCCGTTTACACTTTACATTTTTTGAAGCGCGATAGAMTCGTGACCATCACCGAAAAAAACACCTGRGTTTAGAATRTGCTTGAAATTTAGCTGCAACTTCGTGGCGATTAATGATCAAACGATCTTGATCTGTTCTGAAGGTCTTAGAAAATGTAAGCAATCCAGTGCTTTTGCAATGTTGTTCATACCCATTTGTGTCGAAGGAGTTCAATAAAGCGTAGGCAGCGCGAGGTGACATATTTCCATTTATTCTCTACTCGGCCATGTAGCCATTTTACCTAGATTTAAAAAAAAAATATCAATAAAATTCAGAAATAGCACCCTCTAAAACAGTGGAAGAAATAAACAAAAAAATCTTCGCCATCTAGCGTGTTTCTATTAACGCACTTCTTCTAGGGGATTCATAAAAAAAAATTTCATCCTAATAAGTCTAACTCAACAGCAATTTTCAAAATGGCAAAGAATAAAAAAAAAGCTTCCTTACAAAACAGTCCTTCTTTATAAAGATAAACAGCACAACAAAGAAAAAAATAAGAGAAAAACGAGGCTGCACGTTCTTAGTTACGTTCGATTGTGCATATCAAAAAAAAAACTCTCTGTTACATGTATTCCAAGCTGGTAATTCAGAATTCATTTATACTAAAAAAAAAATCTCAATAAAACTATTTTGCTCACTTATCATGTTCTGTGTAAAATGTATTCTTAAAATTGTGTGAACGGTCCGAAATATGGGCGAAAGAACTTGCGTGAACGGTCTTTTAAAAAAAACAACCTCTATTCTTCTCCAATGATTATCCACATTTCAAAAAAAAATGTGACCAATCAAGCTTCAGTTATAACATGAACAAAATCATTTAATTAATTATAGTGTTGCTAATAAAAAAACGTCTTTATGTCACTTCCAACGTAGTTAATCGAGGGAATGGTTATGAAAGCTAAAAAAATTCATATAGGCCTAATGTTTAGATTTTTATGTTGAACAGGGCTGTAATGTGAAAAAAAACTTGCACACACTTCCAAACAAATATTGCGGACACCAGCGAGTTTTTAGTGGGAAAAAAATTAGACGCGATTTTCAAGATGTTAGAAGCAGATGAAGGAGTTGAAGAGGAGTAAAAAAATGAAGTTGAGAAGTTCTGCACTTCTATGTAGTTATTTCCAAGTTATTTCTTGAAAAAAATGGTTTGATAAGATGTC